CGGATAAATGAGCACCGTTCATGTTTTCACACTCTCTTAATCTCGAACTGAAGTTTTCGATCACTCTCCGAAGCATTGCTCGAGGAATGGCGTTTATTTCATCTGTTATTTTTTGCTTCAACTCTCTCAAATCTTGTGGCGGTGGGGTGTATACCTTACTCTTCAGGTAGCCCCATAAGAAAAAATCTGCTGGTGTCAAATCGGGACTTCTCGGTGGCCAGTTAATGTCTCCTCTGCGACTGATGACCCTCTCTGGGAATAACTGATGAAGAGCATCCAAGGATTCATTCGTGACATGAGAAGTCGCTCTTGCTGGAAAAACGTGTTTCTATTGTAGCCACCATGGTTCTGTATAGCTGGAGTTAAAAAAGTCCTAATCATGTGGCAGTAGCGCTCAGATGTTACAGTTTGAGCTTGGCCACGATTGTCTTCAAAAAAATACGGGCCAATGATTCCTTGCCCTGACATAGCAGCCCAGACGATAACTTTAGGCGAGTGTAATGGCGTCTCATGAAGATTTTGCGGGTTCTGCTCGGCCCAATATCGGCAGTTTTGTTTATTAACATGCCCGTTAATGTGAAAATTCGATTCATCAGAAAACCATATGTTGTTGTAACCGTTAAAATGCTCTCTCATTGTTCTACAGAACTCTAATCGATTAGCGGGATCTTGTGGTTTTAATTGTTGTGTAACAACAATCTTGTATGGGTGAAAATGCAAATCCTTGCGAATAATGCGATGAACAGTTGACTTATGCAAAGTTAGAGACGCTCCACGCAGTCTTAATGATTGCCGGGGATCCTCGTTAACGGACTGGCGCACACGTTCAATATTTTCGTTCGATCTTGCTGACCTTGGCCGTCCAGGCGGTTTACTAATACACGTGTTTCCAGTGCTCTCGAACTTTCTTACCCAATATTTAATTAAATTTGCATTCTTGCTATGTTATAATGATTTCTGCACAAACGACGTACAAGCACATAAGAATCCTTGTTTTTATAGAACTCGCGAACACAAAAAGCACGTTGCGGCCCTGTAAAACGCTCCATTGCAACTAAAATTTAACAATGTTGCCAAACGTTTGTCAACTGTCTCGTTTCTCCGGAGCATGCGTATTCCGCCAGAGGACTGATCTAAAAACGAAAATATTTCTGAGACACCCTTAAAACGTTTATTTTATAAAATAATCGGAATTTGACCTCTATGTGATTGCACATAACTTTTCTTTGTTAGTTTAACTTGAAGATTATTATTATTACTACTACTATTGTTATTATTATAAACTGGGGTCACTCGGCCCATTCGTCAAATGTTTTTGCCTTACAACGATGTTACTTGCGGAACATTGCAAGCCTCAAATATATAGCACCTTGCAAAGAGGCTTTCATAGAACTGAAAATCATACCGTACCTTCTCTTTACATATCCACATAAAGACCAGCCTGACCCAATATACTACCCTCAGTGATGTCCACAGTTATGGAACCAGAAATATGGATAAGATTTTAGTACCTCATAGCCGCCTCCAAACCATCAGGAATGGCACAAAGTATTATGGAGTAGTTTTTTATAACCTGCTGCCAGACCGTATAAAAAAACTGTATGCGACAGTTTTTGAACAAAAAATTGTTGCTTATCTGCCTGATCAAGCGTTTTATTCGATGAACGAGTATTTAAGCAACCATTTTTCAAACTTGTCGGAATGTTAGCGAATATAATAGTGTTGCTACACCTCGGCTCCTATTTTATATGTCTTACCATCTTAATGCATTCATATAATATATATATGTTGTACCTGCTTTTATTGAATGATAAAATGTATCGTGTCATGAGTTGATATATGTTCTGTACAATTTGAACATCAGTCATTTGTCAGACTGCTTTTTGTATTTTTTCTTTCATTTGACCTGAATGAACAAGTTGGTGTACTTAACACACATTAAGAATTGAATTAAAGAATTGAATGACGTTTGGAATACCTACCTTAAAGAGATTTAAGCTCTGTCAAAATGTGTCCTTGTATAAATACTATATAGAGATATATAAAATAACCAGCGGCTATAGACTCGTTGTTCATAGAACCCGGACAAGACTGTTACTTCAACTTTTATTCGAAAAAAGACCTTAAAAAAGCCTGTATCCTTAAAGTGATATAAACATGTGAAATGGGGGTTCGACTCTGTACTGCTATGGGCGATTTAGCGAAAATATTACCGTAAATGGATTGTTTTTCCTTCATATCTAACCTGATATGACGAAAATAAAGGATGATTGCCGCAAAAGTTGCGGTACTGTATTAAGAAAAAAATACTTTTTATGTTGTTTTTTGGTGTCAGAACGTCTCGTTTCGTATCATTTTTTCCGATCCAAACCTTTTCTCTTTACGTTACCCGCTTCGATTGCCTCAGGGCGTTCCTTTAATCTAAGTGAATGTTTTTTCATGGACAAATCACATCGAATACGGGTCGAAACCGCGAAAAAAGCACATGACACGTGACATTATTAGCGCCGAATGCTGCAACACAGAATATTCCAGAAAAAATGTGGGAGGCAGGATATTAAATCAGTAGGATTCGTACAAAATGGACTGATATGACTAGCTTCTATAAAAATGGCCAAACATTAGACATGCTCGATATATGTAGGTGAACAACACAAATATTCACATTCAATCTATAAAGTTGTAGATTCAAAAATGATAAGCATTATTGATGAGAAGTGAAATACGAGGACTGTTTCACCTACATTTTTTGACTGGCAAAAGCGACCAGCAAAGTTATACTCAGTGAAATTAGAAGTGTTAGACCCAGAAAAAATAATTTCTTCAACTTGATTTTTTGGCAGTGAGGTAGTCTTACAGCAAGAATAAAACGATAACATTCTCACTAAATTTGGTTAACAAGTAATAAGAAAAAAATAATGTTTTGGGCGACCCTGCAGCTGAATACACTCCTGTATACGTCTAGGCATCAACAAAATGAGATGATCGATGTTTGGTTGAGTCAACATTAACGCATGCTCCTTGAAGTCAGTCCGTAGTATGACGAGCAATATGAGGACGGGCGTTGTCTTCCTGAAAAAGGACGTGTGGACGGTCATTTAGATACAGCAGTAAAGTGGTTTGTAGGACATCATCAAGATAACGGGCAGCAGTCATATTGCCTTGACCAAAGAGAATGGGTAATAGGCTACCTTAGGCAATAGTCCCCCAAACCATTACTCCAACAGTCCTCTGTACATGCCTGTCAACAGCAAACAGACAGAATCGCGATTCGTCGCTGAAAATGACATTATGCCATTCTGCCTCCCAATGTTGCCGTTTTCTGCTCTAGTTCAAACGTTGACGACAGTGGTCCGCAATCAGAGGTACCACTAATCGCGGACGCTATGAAAGAAGTTCAAAGGTTCGAATGCGGCGATATAGTGTACGCTTAGTAACAAAACGGTCTCAGAGGGCTAGTTATCTGAAGCGTCTATCTTGAAACTCTGTGGTACGCCTCGGTGGACCATTTGGCCTTCTTCGTGTTCCTCTACCTTCTCCTATCCACACATACATTACAGTCAATGCTGTACAACTAACACGGCGGCCAACCAGCCTACCCTTGTCAAAGTCGCTAACATGGTGATAATTTGAACGTCTTCGAGGCATTTTGTTGTGCTTAACACTAGTAAACGAAAGGGCAATAACAAAAAACACTAAGAGATAATATTTGAACAAAGGTCAACGAAGACAAAGATAAAACGTTGACATTGTTGCCACAACATGCTTTAAATAGTTATAGCCATTATGTTGCCAAAAAAACAAGTTGAAAAAATAGTTTTTCTGGGTGTGACACTGCTAATGTCACTGAGTATATTTACCGAAAAGCAGTTTTTAATAGAGAACCTGGTTGAACGCGGAACCCGCCACTGAACTAACTAGCTACGACGACTGACGACCCTTTTTCACTATCGACGAACTCACGAGCTACGCGTCGTCGTGGGAAAAAATAACAAGCGACGGTTTACTTCTGCATTTTACAATTATTGTCACACATTTTTTTGCTATGTTACAAGGAATACATCCTCAAGTACCTACGTGCAAGTTTCATGCATCACTCTTATTTTTCACGATAAGAATTCTCGTCTCAACCGAACTACTAAAATGACTCCATTGTCTGGCCGCTACTATATACGTATAATAATAGTAATAATAATAATAATAATAATAATAATAACAATAATAATAATTTATTGATGCTATTACACAAAAATGTGTTTGCACAGGTCAATTAGAGTAGAATATAACCGAGTAAGTAAAAATAACAAACAATAAGTAAAATAAGACGAACATAAAACCGAAAGTTTCAATAAAAGGTAAAATTTAGATAAATAATAAATAGAGATGGTTAAAAAATTATAAACAGATTTGAATACAATACAAATTATGCCAGGCTGAAAAAAATATAAAGTTAAGGAAGTCTTCGACGTCAAAAAAGCTCGGATAGTAGGAAACATTTCACAGTTTTACCAAATTGTTCAACATCCAGACATTCTATTGCATTTGGCAATATGTTGTATAATTTTAACCCGTGGTACTTAACACCATTTCTAGTTTTGGAAAGGCGATTTGGACACAAATGGTCTTTGATTCTGGTATTGCAATTATGAGTATCTTGATGAGTTGTATAATTGTGATGGGATTTTTAACATGCATGAGGCAACCATAGATGTATACACAAGGCAATATCACAGTATTCAATTCAATGAACTCATTCCTGCAAGCATCCCTGTACCTCAAATTTGATATATATCTAACACATCCTCTCTGTAAGCCAAAAACTGTAGGCATGTACAGAATGGCGTATGTCGTCCTAGTGTGGAAATATGCATGGAAACTGGTGAGCAGTATTTTCTGAGATACAGAATTTCTCAAATAATGTATCAGATATATAACTTCTGTCAAAGATTTTGTAACTTGATTTTCAAGTTTATCGCAACTCAAAGAAGAGTTAACATGCACCTCTCGAAACAGCACTGTTCTTGCGTCGTCATCATTTGCGTCAAAATTCTGCAAAGAAATAGGCAATGTCTGAGTTTTTGTTTCCATTTATGGTCAACGCGTTAATAACAAACCAGTTCTGAATGTCCCTCCTGCATGCTGCCGATTCATTATCTAGGTTTTCTAAGGTGGTGTGAGCTGAAATAAGAGTAGTATCATCAGCATACAAGAACAGTTTGCTAGTAGTACTGTTACTGAGCCAATTAGGTCATTGATGTATAACAAGAATAACAATGGTCCAAGTACAGATCCTTGAGGAACCCCATGCTAAGTTGTGGTGACAGTAGATCTGAAACTTTTGTATTCCAGAAATTGCTGTCGTACAGACAGGTAAGACTTGAGAAGTTGCACATAGGATAGAGCTATGGAATAAAAAGATACCTTCGACAGTAGTATCTCATGCTGCACGCAATCAAGAGCTTTAGTTAGATCGAAGAAGTCAGTCTTCATGTATAATTTGTTTTCAAAGCTCTCGTTAATTATTTCGGTGAAACTGTTTATTGCAGCTGTCGTTGACATATCTTTCCTGAAACCAAATTGACAAGTATTTAACAGATCGTTTGACTCTAGATGACTACTCAGTCGATTCTTGAGGATTCTTTGAAAATTGGTACCACTTCACATATTTTTCGAACGTACATTTCTTGGAGACTTTTGACAATTCTCCATCCACTTGTAGAATCTGCAGATCCTTTCTAATGGACTCATTCAGAACGTAGTAAAGTGCTTATGTAGTTGTTGTCTTGACACGATATAGCGTCCCAATAAGAGATAGCTGATATCGTTATTTTTGATCTTGTGTGATAGGTATCTGATATCATTACTTAAGTGATTTGAAACCATGACTTGTCTATAAGGCACGACCGCGCATGCGTATCTAATACATGTTCAAACGTCAACGTCATAATCCCATAATGTTATTTGCCATTGCCGTGAAGAATATAGTTCCTAGTTCCGGCAGGGGTATTATGTAAAAAAGTTTGGAAAACGTAAAAAACTGACAATATGTCATCTCGCACACTAGGTAATTTTTAGTGTACGAATAATTCATTCCACGTTTGCTCGCTATGATCGCTGTGAGCGTCAACAAAAGCGTCCATCTATGGAGGGATCACGTAACGACACGACGCGCTCAAACATGCATTGTTGGTTGAAGAAAGCCAAGTAGTGTTTATCTCGGAGGAGATGTGAAAGTCAGAAAGTTGGTTGAGTAGCAAGATCGCAACTGAATGATTATGTGTATTGGTCTGTATGTGTAGAAGTTCAGTGATATTTGCTATGTGAGAAAATTATTACTGAATATGGCTCCAATGAAGTATATCTATTAGATGTGCTCGACCGGTTATTTATATGTTGTCCTTTCTGAAGACAGGTTATGTTCAAAGTCATAAATTATGAGTTTTACCGTTTCTTTTTATGTGTTTTCAAAAATTTCTAGCTTTGAATACATCTCAAGTAAATGTATTTAATACAAGAAATCAACGGAGTTATCATCAGTACAGATTATTAGCACACAAATACTCACTATGCACTGCCGTATCCTTCCAGCTATAGTATACAACTCACAGCGTACATGTATAATAATGACATCTCCGAAGCAGATGTTACATCACATCAGAGCCAAACATTGATAGTTGAAGCATCATGACGTTCAGGCAACATATACAGCTACAAAACAAGTTCACAACAAGTGCTAAGTTGACATCTTGTAGAAAAACCTATAAAACGTCAAAGAAAATGACAAAAAAACACTTTTCAAGATACGTAAATCGCAGTCGTGATCACGTCACGCTTTCTCACGGTATTTGGTAAAAGTCATGATTCGTGATTTAGAAGTATCAGTTACTAAATCGAGGTTCGTGAAATCTCTACCACCACTAATCTCGATGTTCATTCAGGCAGATCTCCATAGTTACCTATTTAACAAGAAAATGTGGTCTTGTTTAAAATTGATCATACTTATGACTATTGCAAACAACCACTTCCGCTTTTAATTACATTTTCCATCACACAGCAAATAATTGGGGATGATTATAATAAGAGACGTAAAATTTCATTTAGCCAAGTGAAAAGCTCCGAACGATTCCAAGCATCCAAAGGTCGCCGTTCCAGTGAATTCCGTAATGGTGGTGACCAGAGGCAGGGATGGAGGAAATAGTTGAGAACATGAGTGTTTTTCCGCTATGCGAATGGTATTAGAGCCGGCGTAACGCGACGTGTGTTTTTGGAGGCGAAAGTTTTGTTGGCAGTTTATGAACTCTGCTCCAAAGGTTCACATCTTATACGTACTTATAACTCAAATGTTAATATACCTATAATGTATAATTACTGATTGAAGTGAGATAATGCTACAATCATCGACTTGTACAGGGGATCAATACTTGCAAAGAAAGTGTTCTAATTGAATTCTGACATATTTTGAATCTATAGGGTCTTTAGGGACATACATTGAAAACCAAATACCACTGACGTCGTAATGTGTACGAGAGAGAAGGGCGAGAAGCGTGCAATAACGTGGCTTTATTGCATGCATTACATTACTATTGTATTCAACTAATACGTACACGTAGTATTTAGTTTTATTAATATGTCTAGATGAATGCTTGCCTTTCTAAATGATCAAATATAACAATTCCGGAAGAAGTGAAATCTGTGGTGTTAAAATCACTACGTAATTTAATACGGAATCTTCCATCTGTAGTATATGTCTACCATAGGCCAAATGTGATTCTTAACATATTTATGAGCCCACGCATTCAAAATTAGCAAATGTACATTTTTCACAGTGACACATTCCCCTTCCATTACATACGCACACTATAACTGTGTTTATCGGTCCATCTGTATGTCTAGGCAGATAAACCCATACACATATAAGCCGCTCTATGGTGTGTCGGCTTAGGTATGAAGGGTATGAAATGTATTAAAAAAACTGCAACATTGTCGGGGATTTTATTTACACTAAAAATCGATGATTCGAGGAGCGGAAAGGTCATAGTGAAATTCTAATTATGTCACCCAGTAGAGAGGAAAAATTGACAATATTAATGTGCCATTTATTATAAGATCTTGGGTCAAATGAAGAAAGGAACAAATAAAAACGATTTTGAAAAAATTGAGATGGTTGTCTATCTCTGGCAATACTCTGAATTGCGAAAAATTTTTAAGTGTCATTTTTTTAGCTAAGTAAATCCACAGCTTTGCCCTGAATTTAACAAACTCCGCATCTCTTCCCATTTGTGAGATCCCAATGGCGAGGGTCGAATTTTCCCGCATACCTCCCAACAAACTAATAAGCCGACAAAAGTAAGCAAGTTGGATGTTCATAATGTAGACAAGAAACGTCCAAAAACAACATACGCGTGGTAAGTTAAGACCATGTGTATTTCAGTATTATGAAACAGAAAAAGGACAGATAAAAATCCACAAATACCCTTCTCTATTTATGATTGCTACCCACGAGCCTAAACTATGCTATTTATTCTATTCGGAAACCCCATTAGCAGCCTAATCCGTCCTAGAGAATATCTGATGTTTAATCTACCTTGAAGTTGTTAGTACGTGCTAGAACAACCGAAAATGAACGGAGAAGAGCCAATAACGCGACCGCTCTACAGTTGGGATAATCGGTAGTGAGCTTTTATAGTACTGGAATAAGCATGCAACATAAAACAGTTATTTTCTTAAAAACAGTCTACTAAAATAATAAAAATATGCGCTTTTAAGCACCTTAGAAACACTAAAATACGCAGATAAGGAATAACAAATATGAAAAGGTAAGATTTAGCAAATTGAAATAATTTTTGCAACATTCACCTTTTTATCTGTACCCTAAAATTGTCAGAAATTAGAGAAACAAAGTCGAAGTTTGGAACTGTTTGTTAGATTTTTGCTCCAATGCACAACGTATAAAAGCACAAATGCTATACCTCACAGCACCTTATCAACATCAAATTCGAACCAACGCTCTATACTTCCCATGCCTTCGACACAACCTCTAGTACAATTTTCCATGAAGTGCAACGGCATAAGTTTTATCAGAACCAATAATGCAGTATTTTGGCTTTTCAAGAAAAATAGTTTCCTCAGTTTGCAGCAATGAGCGGGAGCCTTATCTCTTTGAAGCTCGGGTGTTTGTCCAAAATATTTGATTACCGTTTATCTCTTGATGAATATACCTATAATAGATAATTGGTTTGTTCGTACAGTGGTCGATAACTTGTCGGTGACTGTCAAAATCAGAGTCAGAGAAATGTTACATGTTCGTGCAGTTTCTGACTATTTGCCGACAGCTAGTCCGCTGTTCGTACAGAACCTTCTGACAGGTCAGAGAACGTCAGTCAATCGGTGACAGTGACAGGTATCAGAGTGTGTCGAAACTATCTTGAGGACTAATTTTGCTCCGCAAAAGGAATTTACTGACTGATGAGTCCTCTTTAACGGACAGTCAGGGGACACTTTCGCACCGGTAGGCCATCGGCAATCTAGCTGTCTTCTCCCGCTAAGGTAAAAGCTTTGCTTCTCAGAGGTCTCCTCTATGATGTGCGACGTACCTGCCAGATAGACCCGCCTGACTTCGGCGTCCCATCCTAAATGTGTCGAACTTCGTACATCCAGAACTGGCCGATACGACCGCTCCTTTGTCCCAAGTGTATCGAGATTGTGAGGGGAATGAGGAGGCTTTTCCCAGTTCTATTAACATTAGGCAGTTTAAAAATCGATTTAACAAAGTTTCTCTAAGCTCCTCATAGTAGCCTCGCAGCTCTGGCTTTTAGGCTTTTCTGTGCGGCTGCTTGGAAGTAAAAAAAACTATGAGCGACATACCAAGCAGCGAATGCTCGGGATTGTCCGAGCTTTCTGCGAAAGATGCAGACTTTCAAGTCCTACTGGAAGAGAGAATGAAACTCAAAAACAACTTTCAAGAACCATAATTAATATTATTATTTTTTGTAAACACTTATCCTTCCAAAAAATTTTTTTACAGTTACAAAATGCGGAGTTAGGCGATTACTTTGTTGCTACCTGTGTTGCTATTTGTCATGTTGATCAACTTTGCTATTTCAGACATTTATATTTGTCCGTATTTCTGCTTGTAGTATGTTTCAAGGGTTTAAAAACGACTTGACTTATGATTTTCCCTTGATGAGTTTTTGTATTTTCGTAGTCTCATTTCTTTTTGTCTATATTGGGAAGTCTGTGAAACTTATAGCTATGTGAGCAGATCTTGGTAATTGTAGTTATGCTCAGCAGTTTTAGCTTTTTAGTGTTTATTGTAGCACTTCTTCTTTCTGCCAGTGAGGGTCTGCACATACAGGGGAAATATTATTTTCACCCCAGCCAGTATCATTGTTATATAGATGCACCCAGCTGTAGTTTGAGGAAATATCTTTGTATTTAGTACAGTTTTAAAGTATTCGATAATGCTCAAGTTTGGCAGCCTGGCAATCCGCCATTATCGAAGACAGTTGATTAGCTTTGGGTTGAACTGGAGCTAGGATATACATACTGTTTGTGCATATACTTCAATGCTGGTCGACAACTGATTGGGAACAGGAAACAAAAACCCTACTATCTCAGTCTTATAAAAACACATTTACAATAATACCTTGTGAATTGTTCATGCATAATCATCGCAAACATCGCAAACGTTTATTCACAATTCTAACTTTTTGCTTCTCCAGCTTGTCATTCGATATGTGGAAACAGATATCCATACTTTTTAAATGAGAATTGAATGGGAATTGCTGAGTAAATCTACTTGACATTTTTTGGTGCTGTATTTTTTTCTAGAAAGTGTTACTTGTTATCACCTCTAGAGGAAAATGCAGGCACTTCCGGGCAATTGGACGATAAATCCTAGATCATTCTGGTTTACAGAAAATAAAAATACCCGAACTTTTCCAAAATTATCTACCTTGTACTGAAAAATGTTACATTCGAATAATGATTGTACTTGATTTCGAGCACTCACAATTTACTGGACAATAATTTGCTGACTAATTTGACAGTCATCAAACAGTCAGAAGTTGCTGTACGAACAGTGGATCAGTTGTCGGTAATCGGTCCAAGCTCCCTCAATCAACTCGTAACGTTCTCATGTACACAATTTATACAGTCAGTGACGTGTCAGTGACAGCTAACTGAATAAACTAGGTCATGACTTGTCGCCGACTATCAGTTTGCTGATTTTCAGCCAACAGGCTGTACGAGCACAACAAATATCGCGCCCACCTCGTATGTCGCTGCGCTGCTTGCCTGCTCAGATTGAAGAAAAAAGATAAAAGATTCAATATTTATGATAACAAAATAAACATATTTTTGTATAGTTTTAAGGACAAATATACAAGGAAACAACAATACAACCCTCCATGTCCCAATTCTTTATATCCAAAAAAAAGTTTACATAAATGATCAGGACCTTCTGAAACATCGAAAAATTAAGTTAGAGCTATTTCTTTGTTTTTGTGTCTAAAGGGTTGCCGCCACTGAACCGATTTTCAGGGACTACAACGCTTTTTCGTCCTTGGCATAGTAGTATCCTTCTGGGAAAATTTCATCAGTCTGATCACTATTTTCCAAGTTAAGGGAGGGAATCAAGTGACATAGTTTCATACTCGTATACGTACTATATAT